AAGGCGATAAAGGTGAGATACAATTTAATTTAGGATGAATATTTTTGGCTAGCAACACAGATACATAGTTCATCCATGATTATATTTTTAAAGGAACTTTAGGAACACATTCATAGTGGATGTCGGATGACGTTTCGTCATCTTGCACTGCTAGCTTTCTTTTTTGTACATTCACATTTTGCACAAGATTTTGTGGTGTTCACTTGTGATTTATTGGTCCAAAGGAGCTCAAAGGTGGCAAAATACAAACGACACATCCGCTAAACAGCAGACTGACTAATTAACCAGCTAATACCAGCTTGTTATGCTGACGTTACAAAGAGCAGAGCTGCAAAAAGCTATTTTGTGCCACAAAATTGTTTTCTTTTTTTATTAAACATACAACTAAACTTAGTAGGTGTTAATTTAAAAAAAAACATGCTTAATAAATGGAAAACCATAGTAATCATCATTATTAGTAGTTAGATAACAGAAGGACTCATGTGCCTTCAGAAATTCAGCTTTTCTAGATTCCTGCAGATCTTCTTCTGCCTGTGTTTGCTCAACCATCCACAGTCTAGGGAGCATTACTGATCAACCCACTGTTGAATTATCTTTTAATCCAATCACATTACATAATAATACTCTTCCAATGACTGTGACTCTAATGCGCTTATGGAAAATTGACAAATGAGCTAATAAAGACACCCTCTGTTTAAAATCCAAAATATTATCAATACGATCTAATTCCTTTTTTATTTCTGTGTGTTTATGCTAGCTTTCTCAGAACATAAACAGTAATAACCTGCCAAAAAAAAAAACAATGCAGTAAAAAAAAATAATAATAATAATAATTTTTAAATAGAGTTACTGGTTAGGTTTGCAAGACACCTACTATTACCGACAATGCACCTGGCTGGAAATGTGCACCTTCACACAAAGACATTCACACAGAGCCTCAACAGCGCTGATGTCAACAGCCGGCGCTAGCATGCCGTGGAAGCAGTGAGATCTCTTGTGCTGACAACGTGAGAGTAGAGGAGTAGCATGACAGAAAGCAGTCTGTTGCACGTAAGACACCAGAAATTTCAGCGTTAGCCCTGGTTTAGAGCTCTGTTTGGTTAATGCTAACAGCTTAGCTACGACAAACCTCCAAGTGGTCCTTCCCCACCACCCTTTAAACAACACGCTGCTGTTCAAACCTGAAAATGCTTGAAAACCCCAGGTTTTGCTGGAAGGACTTCATTCCCTTTTTTGTTTTTCTCCCTGCTCCTACAGAGAATTTGTTGAAAGCTGGCACCAGGGGAGGAGAAGCCAACAGCAGCATGCTAAAAAGAGTTTGAATTAGTAATGACTGCTGAACATGTCAGAGCGCAGCCATTAGGCGCTGCGCAGGAAAGTCCAAAGAGGGCACCAATGATTTTGACAAGCAAACGTTGCCTTAAAAGTCTGTTGTATTCTTTTTGCGCTCGGTTTTTCTTGAGACTTTTCCTGCACCATTTGTTTTCTGAGACAAACATGTCCATCTAAAAACGCTGAATAGGTGAGGATTAAAAAATACTGAAGAATGAAATATTTGTAAAAGAAAAAATATATATTTTACTGAATTCTACAAAACATCTCACCTAAAAAGATGTAATCAAAGGCCATCTCACAAAACTTCTTAAAAACAATGATCTAAAGGAATTGGAATGAATTCATTAAAGGAATATTTTGCGATTACGTGGAAGACTAAATATATAATACTCAAATTCTGTTTCTCATTTCCTTCAGATACAGAACCAAACAGAATTTTCTTTCTGCTGCTGTGGTCCTGCACTTTCCTGAGCTAGGAAAGGTTTTATTTATTAATGATGGCTTTACAAAACACTAATCCCTGGCACAATGAATAAAATATTAAAACTAAAAGTCTGATTCTAAGGCAATGAGGAAATGAGCCAAATACTGTTGTATTGTCCATAGGCCTCAGAAATGAGGAAATGAGTCTGATGCCATGTGTACAAAAACAAACTTAGTTCTAAAACTGGACATTAAAAGAAATTTGGAAATTTTCTTGGAAGTCAGTTAAAGACAGCAAAAAAGAAAAATAAGCCGTTTATTTTTCAACAGCGGATGAAACAAACCTTTCAAATGTTCAAACACAAACACTACAATAGGCTAAAACAAAAAAAAATCTCCAGCGCAGATCGAATCGGAAGTACAGTTCAATGGGATAGTTTGCCTGTCCTGAGCAAACAATCCAGATAAAGTTGGAATGTTAGCTGGACTGTTAATCTAATTCTACAAACCCAGCACATTGTTACCTGCTGCGTGCCTCCAAGATTAAGCAAATGCATGAGCTGTGTTAGAGCTATGAAAGAAAAACTTATACTTCTGCAAAAGCTTATCATTTCAAGTATGCAACTCATTTACAGGCCTCGGTTTACCTTTGTTCTTTTAATTAAAACCTGCCAGTTACTAGTTAAACTTACTACCTGGAACAACACTGATCATTTCTCTGAGTTCAAAGCTTCATATTTAACAGTACATGTTCAAACTATTTGAGTTACCAAAATCTATCTTGTTTTTAATCAACTCAAAACCATGCATGCTGTGTCATGGTGCGTTTATAGTAAATAAAATTGTGGAAATTCTTAGATTTGGTGCTTTTTATTCTGGGGGAGGCTGGGATTTATCCTGGCAATCGACAGGTAATGTCAATTAAAAGAAAATGGCCCGATTCTGATCTTTGCAAAACTAGTTACATGATTCAATAAAAATATTATAACCACCAAAAAATACAATACACTGATTTATTCCTATAGTTTTTCAGTATGTGTTGTGATATTTTGTATGTAGCTAAGAAAAATAAACATAAGTTATCTTTGTTTGGCCATTTTAAACTACAGACTAGTAAAAAATTAAATGTGCAGCATAGTTCTTTGATTTGTTTTAACCTACATGAGTCCTCCTGGGTAACATATGTCAACACTGACCAACTTGGATTTAGCTAGCTGAGCTGCTATCAACAGCTGGCCTCATCACCAGCCCCACAAACACATCCATTTAACCAGCAAAGGGGGTCAGCTACGATGACAAGCACAACTAAAGTCAGTTATTTTCTTAAAACTCACACATTCACTGAATCCAGCACAATGAAATAGGAATATATTGTTAGCTAATGTAGCAGGGGTGGCTCGTCTCAGTAAACATGTATACTGGTAAATATTGAGCAGCTAAAGACAAGAAATAAACAAATATGCCCGAGCACAAATGTGTGTTTAACGCGCTCAACCTATTCTTTAAACGCCTATTTGCCAAACATTTTGTAATACTGGGTGAAAACATGAGGCCAAGCTTACCAGCACAGGAGAGCTACAATGAGGCACACCAACAAAACGCGCAGCCTCTTCATTATCTTCCAGCGGGGACCGACATCCTCGCTATTTGGTTTGTTTCTGGTCTGTCGCGGCTGCACAATACATCGAAAACCAGCTGTGTGTTGGCCGTGAGTCTGCCTTAATTAGGACACAAGCAAGCCACGATGCCCTGAAGGTAAAACCCACACTTCAGGAGGAGTATAATTCATTACACGGACCTTTCGTCCGCCTCCTTTTCAGTTTCAACAGCCACTGCTACAGACGAGTTGCCGTGCTCCGGGTAATGTAACGCCTGCCCCAAAGATAACCAATCAAATCACAGAAAGGAAATTATTGACCAATCATAGGAGACTTGGTTGTGTCGTATTTGAAAAGAAGCCCCGCCTCCAGAATTGAGGATGAGCTGGTGGCTGTACGACTGGACGCGTCACGCTTTTTGATGAACTGATCAGCAAAGCACGCGATATTTCATCTTATTGCACAATAACACTACGTTTCGTTGGAAATGACTTGTTTTTTCACTTGTTTTTTGTTTGTTATCGGAATTTATGTCCTTAAAACATAAATTCATTTAACTATTTTCCTTTGATTAAATTAAAATGTGTTTTAGTATAAATTAGACTGATATTTATTCTCTAGAATTTTCTCTTTACCTGTGGCTTCTTTAGCCTAACCATAAATAACTAATTTTATGACTGCAAAGAGAAAACATCGTCTCTACACGTGTGCTTGTTATTTGACCCATTTTGTGCACCAGCGTTGCCAAATTGTCCCTTCGTTCTCATATTTACTTTGCACATTCTCCCATAAACAAACCATCATAGTCATTGTATTTCGGCTTATTTTTGTGTGGTTGGTATTTTGATTGGTATTTTTTTAAATAAAATATGGTGATAGATTATAATGCAAACGTATAAGTTAATTATATATCATTTCCACAATAATTTTTTTATTATTATTACAGAAGATTATGACAAACTCTGAGCAAATCTTGCTTGTAAAGTCAATAGCATTTATTTACTGATAATAACATTCATTACTCCCTATATTACAATTGATTTGTGGTTCTCAAAATACATTAAAAAACTAAAATATACTGATCCTCTTCTCTTCAAACTAAACTGTATATGAAAAGGGTCATGCAAAGGATATTTACATGAAACATTTTAGAAGAGATATTGACTTTGATTAGCTCGTGAATGTAACTGTTATTTTGTGATCTGAGATAAGAACAGATGACAGAAAAATAATTTACAACGAAACATCAAAAGGCTTAAAAACGTTCACCCTTGCGGGTTACGGAAGAAGTCACGCATGCTCAGTGTGAGGCTTTTGGCACACCAACACTGCAAAAATGTGACAAATTTAAAAGTTTATAGGTACAAACAAATTTGGAATATCAACACCGAAGTAAAGCGTCGAAGTTCAACATTTAATTTTCTTTGCTTTGATTATTTTTGATTACATCGAATTAAGTCGTCTGTCAAATAAACGACATATCCCACAATGCAGTTCGAGCAAGGCCATTAAAGCTGCCTTTTAGAGTTATTTTTTGTTTATTATCCGAACATATCGACTAAAAAGAGTAGGACATATTTTGAAACTTATTGTAGCTTCATGGGATATTAATTTGAGCCATACATAAAATTGTTGTTCTGATCAGGCGGGGTCCTGACGCGCTGGCAGTCTGCGCTGAGGCTGAGCACAGTTCAACAGAAGTCAACTTTGGGTGAACGTCAGAACATTTCACCGAAGTATTTGCTTCATCCCTGTGACTCTGCGTTTGGCCGCTGAAGCACAACTTTAGCTTTTTGGACTCTCGGGACCACAGCGATGAGCATGGAGCCGGTCCGGATGGTTCTGTGTCTGCTGTCCGTGTTTATCTCGCTGCTCTCGGACCGGTTGGTGGTGTTGGCTTCCTTCTCCCAGGCTATGGACAGCGACTTCACCTTCAGCTTACCTGCTGGCCGGAAGGAATGCTTCTACCAAACCATGAAGACAGAGGCCTCCCTGGAGATTGAATATCAGGTCATACACAAATATTGGACTGTCTGTTACCCACAATACTGAACCAGTTGGCTTTGTGGCTCACCCCTTGACGTTTCATAGAGTCAGGAACCAGTTTTGCCTGTCAGTGCACAAATTATTGCCCAAAAGGAATCTCTCTGTTTGACCCCGATGTGCACAAACATTTAGCAATCTGACTGTCTGGCCATGATGGACATTCCTAGCAGTTTTCCATTGCAACGTGTAGCTTTTAAGATTAACTGAGGGTTTCATTTTGAAACTCATTTCACAATGAGTTTTTCCTCATTTTAAAATGAGGAAAACTATAACTCCTCATATTTGGGTGACGTCTCACTACAGTATATTCAGTGCCTTACAAATGTATTTATGATTTGAATTGTTCCTATAAATTTCTCACTACTACCCAAACATTAATGTGTTTTCTTGGGATTTCATGTGAGAAACCGTCACAACGAACTGCACAGTAGTTTAATCATTTGTGGTTTTCAAATTGTTAATAATATTAAAAAATTATATCCAGCTCCCCCGAGTCAATACTTTGCAAAACTACAGCTTCAAAAAAATTTTTATGTCTCTTATCAGCTTTAAACTAATAGAGAATAACATTTATGCCCGTTCTGGAATAAATATTCAAGCCTTTCCACAAATGATCAATTGAAATTGAGCCTCACAGGGCTTCTTATGGGTTTCTTTCAATAATGGTTTTCTCCTTGTGACCTTACCATAAAGGTAAGATTTGTGGAGAATATGCCTAATAATTGTTCTGTCAAAATATCCAGTAAACAGTTGTGTTAAAGCAAAATCGACACAATATTTACAAATGAAGTGATGGTTTTTATTTTGGGATATCAGATTAAAGGGGGCTTTGCATAGAACAGTTTTTAGAAATGTATCAGCAAAAAGATATTAAAACCTGTTATTTCTCCTGCATTTTTTAAGTTTTGCACCGCTTTATGCTGATCTACCACACAAAATCCTGATGAAGTACATTAAATTGTACGATTGGAATATGAGCGCATGTAAAAGGTTAAAGCAGTATGAATATTTTTGCAAGGCTCCGAATACTGACAAGTTAACTATTTTGTCTCCTGGTAAGTTGTGTATTTGAGCCCTGGTGACATCTGTGGCCGTTTCTTTTACCATCAACAGGTGTTAGACGGTGCCGGTCTCGACGTGGACTTCTCCATCTCTTCTCCTTCCGGCCAGTTGCTCTTCAGCGATCAGCGCAAGTCAGACGGCGTCCACACGTGAGCGTCTCGAACAGCACGTCCATTGATTTATTTTGCACGTGCCAGATGTCCTTACAGCTCGTTCTGTCCTGCAGCGTGGAAGCTCATGAGGACGGGGACTACGCGTTTTGCTTCGACAACACGTTCAGCTCCATATCCGAGAAGCTCGTCTTCTTCGAGCTGATCCTGGACAACATGGATCAGGAGGAAGACCCAGACAACTGGAAGGAGCACATCATTGGGACAGATTCGCTGGACATGAAGCTGGAGGACATTCTGGTGAGGCAGACATTTTCACGCAACGTATAGTTTAACATGTTTCTAAACCGTCTGATCTCAGTAGCATAATCAAAAATCTGACATGCATAGTTTTCCTTTATATTTCCACTTGAGTGTTTTAGACGTTGTCCCTCTGTTGCCTTGACACAGTCCCATTAATGAGCCAATAACTCCCCCACAAAGCAGCATCCTGAGAGATTCAGCGTGTCACAAGAACAGAGAGAGTCACGAACACACAGCTTGTTGTTAGTTTCGCCACAGTGACTAGCACTGCCCTGTCCCTATAAATGGCTCTTATTTCTGCCAGAAGTCACAGAGCCATGACGTGGTAAAGAGCAGGAAACGTGTTTTCCAGATGTGGAGGAAGTTTCTTACAAAAGGAAGGAACATACCCGACTGCACAGCTTGCTTAGGAACATGTCCCCGCTTTGCTTTGCAGATGCACTACAAACCTGCAAAGTCTTACCCAGTATTTTTGGTCAAGTTTCTAGTGCAAATATTTTAGGACAAATAAGACAAAACTAACTCGTGTACATGTTCTGCAAGATATAGGAGCTTGTTTTAAGTCAATAACGTTCTTTTTTTTTTGAGAAAGTACTAGATATAAGAGACATAATATGCTGGTGGAAAAGCAATTTTTAATTTCAAATATGGCAAAAATGTCTTGTTCCAGATTATTTCATAACTAGCACTGTTTTATCAATGTTAAGGAATTGTTGACTTAAAACAAGCTCCTGTTTCTTGCTCAAAAGTAACTTGTAAATTATTTTTATCTTATTCCAAGTGTGCCAAGATATTTGCACCAGAAACTAGAACACAAATACTTGGTAAGATGTTGGATAAGCGAAGTTGAACACGTTTCTCAACCTGTTCCGGTTGAACAAGTTGAACAGGTTGAACGGGAAACTTATCCTTATAAGGTGATACGGATCACTTTATCTACTGCCGTCCTTGGTTTCCAATGTCGACAAACATTAATTGTTCGTTAATCCAGGTGGATTTATACCTGGATTAAAGTGCACACAACTTTATCAACTTTAACTATAAACTCATGAGGTTATATCTGAAAGCAAGTGGTTCCTCTGGGTTTTTATTTAGTGGCATCAGAGTGAAGGGAGCTAAACATAAATGCACATGGCACTCTTAAAAAGTATTCGTGAAAGTGATTCTTGTTTCCTTCAAAAATTTTATGTATATACGATTTTTTTTATTTTCATCCTCTGTCTCCCAGGATACCATCAACAACGTGAAGTCTCGCCTGGGAAAAAGTGCGCAGATCCAGACGCTGCTACGGGCGTTTGAGGCTCGCGACCGGAACCTCCAAGAGAGCAACTTTGACAGAGTGAACTTTTGGTCGGTGGTCAACCTCGTCGTGATGATGGTGGTGTCGGCCGTCCAGGTCTATTTAGTCCGCTCACTGTTCGAGGACAAGAGGAAAATTCGCACATAACGTCGCCTGGGGCTGGACGGACACAAACCATGAAACTAACACACGTTAACACAGTTACATTAGGGACGCTTTTTTTGTTTGTTTGTTTTTGTTTTCCTCAGCATCATTCTGTCTTTCAGATGTTTGCAGAAACCAATAGTGGTTCAGGACTGATTGGCCACTGTTGTTGCTTCAGGTTTTCTGTCCACCGGAGCTTGGGAATGGATCACAAGTGTCGACTAGCCATACCTCCACTCGACAACCTTTTTACAAGAAAAATGTTTTCTCTCTTTATAGCTTTATACTGTTTTAAGGTCCTTCTTAGCTGCTGTAGTGGTTTACACAACACGTCATAACAAGTTTACGATATGCAACTACTTTTCTACTAGAGCAGGAGCGTTACCAGGCCAGTGGCCAATTTGCAAATATTGTCTCGCTATTTTTATTTTTTTTTCCTGAGTGAAGGTAGTTGAAGTTGTCACTTGCTGCTGGGATAACTTATTTTTGCCAAACAGTTTGGTAGCATGTCTTAATTACTCTGGAGAGAGAAAAAAAATCTACATGTCAGTTTTGAACTCATCTCTGAGGTCTGTGAAGTTGGCAGCAAGTATGAATGCTGTTGAAAATTAGACGTGCTTTGTTCCCACACAGCTGCCGAACAGTCAGGTGTGTGGATTAGTGGGGTGGGGCTGCGCTGGAGCGGATGAGACGGGGTCCGCGGCGTCCACAGGCCTTCACGTCCTGCTGTGAAGGCCTGTGGCTGCTGGTGGGTGTCTGCTTACAGCCCACCTACTCTGTGAAGACGGCGGGTCCGCTTGTCTGTCTAGTGACAGAGGGCTATTTCTGTGTGACTGACACCTGGAAGGTCAATGCCACACCTGCTCAGTTTAACATGATCCTCTACAACATCAGCATACTCTTAGATGCTTCTATCTGTGCTAAATCTATACTTAAAAAAAAAAACTGTCATGATTATTGCACTGCCTTTGAAAAACATTTTTAACAAATTGACTTTGGGCCCTGGATCTTTGGAGGTGGGTTAGACGAAGAACAGAGGTCCATCTCAGACCACCTACTGAAGGTCTTTGTTTGTTTTGGGTTTTTTTTTTGCATTTTCTCTGTTAAAATTTTGCTGATTTAAAAAAAAAATCCCTAAAGGTTTTCTTTATACTTGACTTCACTGTTAAATAACTTATGCTATAAGAGTAAAGACACATCATGAGATCAGGCCTTTACTTCAGAGCCTTATGTTTAAAGTGCATAACACCAAACATTTACTAGCTGTGTTAATATTATGCAAATTAAATGGGTAACTTGTTCCCCTTTTGTTTGTCTTTAATCTATACGAAGCGCTCATCTGCTCAGCTTTCATCACTGTGTGGATATGTTTGTTAAGATTATGGTATTCTTATAAAAGATTGATTTAAAATGATTTTGCAATCATAGTAGATTTAAAAATTTCCAGTAGTATTTCTTTGTTACTGAGAAGGAATAAAGTACTCTGTTACTCTTTTAAAACATATATTTTCTACTATTTTGATGAAGCAGTGGAGGCAGGTTGAGGGAACATGGCATTTATTCCACCAATGTCCTGCACTTGTAGATGTGTCTAAATTAAACAAGTCTATCTTTTCTGATCTGTGTGTTTCCTTGTGTGTCTCCACAGGCAGATCTTTTTTAAGGGGACCTTTGGTAAAAATCCCACAGTTTTGAAGATTTAAACAATATTTATGAAACATTTTAAATGTTACTGAAGCACTGCATGTCTACACATGCTGAGCTCCATCAGCATGTTGCCACCATGAGCATCGCAATTCAAGAATCGAATAATTATGGTTTAAAAATTAGTTAGGGTATCTACTCTGTATAGCCTGCAGTGAACTGCTCAACAGAGATGCTGTCTTTAAAAAAGAAGTTATCGATGGTTACTTAGTTGTCACTCCTTGGCTGTCTTAGTTTGTTTTGTTTTTTTTTTTGTTGTTTTTGCAATTGTTAATATTTCTAAAAACAAATTTGTCTTTTTAGTAAGCATGAGAACAGTGTCCTATAGCTTCTTTCTGCCTGCTAGGTGGTAGTGTGCAGCAGCAAAAGCAACAGGGGCAATGACGTATTACTCTACTCTTTAGCTCTTTGTCTGCTATCTCATGAAAAATACGCTTTAAACTTGAGATCAGAGGTTTTAAAAATGCTGGACTGCTAAAGAGATTCTGCAGTAGTTCAAATGTCACAGAATAAAGTATTTCTGGTTCACTGGTAGAGAGAAAAGCTTTAATGGACAGCTGCTTTTCCTTTTGAGTGAAGCTGCAGAGAAGAGATGATCAGACAATTCTTCAGTGCAGCAGAAGACGGCCCTTCTGCGCAGCGAATCCTTGCAAAACACAGTAGTTCATGTCAGAAATGTTTTTCATTTTGATCTATAATGCTTAACCCTCTATTTGGTACCATCTGGATGAAGAAGTCCTGGAAGCGCTGTTGAAGTGTGACATCGTCTGAAAGAAATATATGTCATGTGAAATGGAGATGCAAACCAGTAAATGTCTGGAGTATTTTATTTATTTATTTTTTTCTAAAATGAAACTCTAAGGACCTTCAATTATTCTCAAACGGGCATACAATCACCACTGGATCTCTCTTTGTGGCAGATTTATTGTTTTTTTACTATATTTCAGGTAAATGTGATCTAATTAATTAAGAGCTGAGTAGAGCTAACAGCAAAAAAAAAAAAAAAAAAAAAAAAAAAAAGATTTCTTCAAGGATAGTGATCTTGGCTTAATCAAAAAAACTACTTAAGGTAAAAGTGCAGTGGAGAAATATTTGGTGAACCATACCGAGAACAGAAATAAATGAACTATAGATTTATTCTTGGTTTTTTTCCCCCCAAACTTAAATGTTTCATATCATCAAAAAAAGAGATAATCTCAGTAACTGCAAAGAGCAGCTAAAACTGTGTTTAGTAAGATGAAATAAAACTACTTAAACAAACTCCCCTCTTGGTGAAAAAGTGTCTCCTAAGTTTAGTAATTGGTGTTGCTAAGTACCATCAAGCATTTAGAATTACTAGCAATTAATTAGATTCACTCTTATTTGAATAATTATCCTAATTAAGAAGCTTTGGAGAAGTTTCAAGCATTAACAGCCTTTAAAATGTTCAAGTGATTTCTATCCATTGGGTTGGGATTTTGGTAGAACTTACCTTTGTTCTGGATGTTTGCAGTTCCTCATATCGCCTGCTGATAGATCTCGTTTCTGAGAAGCTGTATAAAACACAAGAATGTGTAATAGTAGAACACAAGCCCTCTTAACTGTAAGACTTGTAAGCTGAAAAATATCAGGATACCTTTTGTGGGATGAGCTGATCTGTTCATTCCGACTTAAAAGTTCAGTGGAGAATGGGCTATGTATATTTATTACAGACATCTTGTTAAAACAAACAAAAACATAAAATTTATTAGAAAATGGCTGGCAAATATTCAGAATTAGAAATGCAATTTTATTTACATATTTATGAACAAATACAAGTATAATCAAACTGTATTGACATAGATGTGTCAATCATTTTGAAATGAACTACATTTGTAAAATGTGAATTAAAACTTAACTGCCATGTACTCTATACTATATAATATATAGATGTTCTATATTTCTTGTGCTACATTGGATCAAAATCATTTAAAATATAATCAAATAAACGCGTAGTTATTAAGTTAGCAACTCATTTATCAAATAAATTAATGAGTACCATTAATGAGTAAACTTCTGGAGTTGGACAGAGCAAAAGTAATCGATTAATTACTTTATCAACCTCTAACAGCAGGGGGCACTGTGAGCACCAACCGACTGATTTACTTCCGGGACAATCAGGGGATGAAGTGAAAGCGTCTGCGCCCATAGCGACGAATAAAACCAGCCTAGGTAGGTGGATAACGATTTGATAATATTAAACTACAGGAGGATTATAACCAACCCTGAATATATCTGAATGTATCTCTAAATGCGTGTTCAGTAGAACAAGGCTAGTTTTACATTCACACCAAACCGGAAGAGCCTGTGCATCAAGCCTGATCAGCTTCACATCAATTCAACAGAAAACACTAATTATACGTCCCAGGTTTTACTTGGCTCTTTTAATAGTAGTAGCAGTGATTAGGAATGACAACTTCTTAAATTACTTCCAAAGTTATCAATAACTTGAAACTAAATTCGCTTGCTGGGCTAAATATCCCTGGATGCTTCACTGGCGTTAAAGCTACTGGCGTTAGCATTCATTTCAAGTACAGATTTCTTTTCGTCTATGAAGCAGCAACTTGCCGTCTGTTTGGTTTTCTATTAGTTTGACTGTTTGTTTTATATCGTCATTTTAAGAAACTAAAATCTCTACCCAAAACAAACACAAGTACAAATACCCTGGTGACCTCCCAGAAGGCATAAAAGACATTATAAGACTTGTGTTTATCTGTATTCCTCTTGTCCCTATTGCTTTATTTCAGACTAAGAGCGATTTGAATTTGGATTTTTTTTCTTTCTTCACTTATTTATTTATTTTTTTTGTTGAACTTTAATAGACCGATTTCTAAAATTTATAAAATGCTCCATAGTTTTTGCATTTCCCATATTTTCTATATGACCACGCCCAGTTAGATGACCTCATGTCAAAACACTACATGAATATCATAGCATATGTAGTTCTTCATTAACGAATTCTTCATTAAACATACAGGACAAATTGGAATGGCCAGATTTGATTATAAAATATATTCATTGATCGTTTTGAACTGTTTTACATCAAGAGGATTTTCAAGAATTTTCTAAAGAACTTGGGTCCAACTCGAAAACAGTTGCCAGGTAGACAAGAGTTGCCTGTGAGTCCAACCGTAGCTGTTAGCCCCGCCATGCATGAAGTGATTCTCACTTCATTCATAAAATGGTTTATTACTCAACCCTTAATGACATCGCTCAAGGAGGACACCTAGTGGTCAATGAAGGGAGGTTTAAACGAGAACCCTTCATCGACTCCCACCAATATGGATATTAGTCTTTTGGGGGGGTTTTTTGTCTAATTTAATGAACTATTTAAAAGGTGCTCCTACATCCATGGAGTATGTTGTACAAACAGAAACTTTCTCCCAGGGCTGGTGAAAATACACATAACATGACAGATTTTAGCAAAGTGTGTTTTGGGGGTCATTGATTAAGAGCTTCATGGGTGTGTAGGTGAAGAACAAACAAACACCACTAAGTGTGTCCGTCCACAGAAGTGTCCAAGATATCTAAAGTAATTAAATTTAGCTGTCATTTAGTTAGCTGTTCACTTTACTTGCCTTTTTGCAAAAGGAAAAAATAAAGTAATAGCTACTTTGACCATACTGCTCTCTGTATGTTTCTGTTTGGTAAAGAGGGCAATGGGGCCAGATGGGGCCCTGAGTCAATCTGTGCCCTGGCGGAAGGTGCTGTGGGAACGGCAGCCGTTTCCTGACAACTACGTGGACCAGAGGTTCCTGGAGGAATTACGGCGGAACGAGGGAATCCGGCAGTACCGCTACTGGGCCGTAGTGAAAGAAGCAGGCTTTGTGGGACAGCAACTGTCCTGTGTGGCCATTTTTATCACCCTCTGGCTCTACATGGAGCAGGTACACCTGTAGAACAGCTTTTAACTTCATACTGTTTTTGTTCTGAAGGAAATCTCTGATTGGTCGACATCTTGTTCTTTTGTTTCTCTCACAGGGTCTCCTTGCTCCTGAGACTTTGTTTTGGACCAGTCTCACATGTGCCCTCCTGGGTTATGGACTCTACCAAGCATTGACCTCTCAGACTGAATCCTGCAGTGACCACCGCACACATTTGGCGGATTCACAGAGCGCCGTCCTGTTCCTTTCCTTCACCTTCGGCTTCTCGCCAGTTCTCAAAACATTAACAGAGTCTGTTAGCACGGACACTGTATATGCCATGTCAGCTCTGATGCTGCTGGCCCACTTGGTGTCGTTTCCCTACGCCCACCCCTCTCCCCCGGGCAGCCTCTCTTTGAACGCTGCGTTGTTTGCCTCTGTGTGCTTGGCCTCGAGGTTACCTGGTGCTCTGCACACCTTCGCCATGCTCACCTGTGCACTGCTAGTGTTCGCCCTGTGGCCTTGTCTGCTCCAGAGGATAAGGGCGAATGCGCCCAGCCAGTTTACTGGGGTGTGTGTGGGAGTGTGTGTCGGAGGAGTAGGGGGTCTGGGATCCCAGTCACTTGGGGGAGCTATGCTCTTATCCCTGGCTTTAGTTAGTGTCACGTTAATCTGTCCCCTGCTGTTGGTCAGGCTGCAAAGGCAAAAGGACAACATCCACGGGCCGTGGGATGAGGCTGAGATTCACGAGGACCTGAGCCGCTTCCTCCACTGAAGAACAGATCAAACTAAGCTAGTTTTGACCAAACTGGCAATTGGCTAATTTTACACCACTCCTTTTTGTGCTGTACGTATTTTCTGACAGATTTTTCTCAATGGTCTGTTTGGACAGCCACAGCAAACTGTGCTTTCCACAGACGGTTCCGAATGATAACGCTGCTACTGTTTTCTAAGCACTGACCTCAACTCTTCTATAAACGGTATGATCCAGTGTGCTGGGCTGACCTGAGCTACGGACCAATATGAAGCCATGCACCAAGTTTTTAATGTTCTGATTTTTATTGACTTCTGTCGTACATAGGCAAAAGGGCTCCGATTACCTGGGTTATTTTACTTCAGTTGGGTAAACCTCACGATGTACTGAGAATAATTTTTCTATCTGGGTTGTGGTGGTGCCGTGTGCAATTTATGGTGGAAGTTTTAGCTCGATTTTAAGTGATATGTAACTTTATTTGCTTAAAATGCGATACTTAGAAACGGTTTTGAAATATCCACAGTTTCTTAAGAGGTGCACTAAAAAAAAAAATTTTTTTAAATCAGTTTGCTAAAAACTAGAAAAATCCATTCTTTTTTGATAAGTGAATACACCTGCTCAGTGCGTCAAGGTTGCACTAAGTACCAAATCCAAACTGTGCAAGCTGTTATTGTGGGGAGAAGACTCCCGAGTTGTTGTTTTTAACATTCAGCGAGGTGTTCAAATCTGTTGTCAGAGGAGCCACAACAGTTGTTTAAAAATAAACTGTATTTTCTGGCAGGCGTTCATTCCCGCTCCTTTACAAAGGAGCGAGCTGTCATTTTGCTCCTTCATCATTTCAAACAAAAAGAAATACCTTGCAACATTTTGCCAAATTTATTTTATAACAGAAACATTAATGTTTTGAGCTCTTTGTTTTAGAATATCCCGTTTTTAGAAATGTTGGCAACCTTTTATACGTCTTAAGAGTTTAGGTGTGGCCTACCCTCAGCAGCGAATACTCTGCTTGTTTTTACAGTTAGTAATGCTATCCACACACTACTGGTCAAAATAGGACGCCTAAGAACATTAAAAAAATAACTCCAAACGTTTTGAAATATTATTAAAAAAAGCACAGTTGAACAATTTGTCTCGTTTTCTTATGTGAATAATTAATCACTCTGTAACATAAATGGCAGAAATATTTTTAAAAACCATTGTCAATGTTGCAATTTAAATGTATTTATTTATTTTATTTTATTTTAATTTTTTAGGTAAAGGTCAAGTTCTTCACCTATTAGTTACAATAACGTGAGCCATCATTTACATAAGCAGGACTTCTGTTTTTATATCGGACTCCTCTGCTAGGCACAGGTTATATCTGGCTCACTCGGTCCCTGATGAGCGGAATGTCAGCCATGTTGATTTAAAAGACAGTGACGTCAGCTTTTTGCTGATTACAAACACCTGTTAGGCTAATTGAAATATCTCGCATAAGTCACTTTTTATCGCCAGTTTCAATATTTTGTTGAGTAAGCTGATCAAACATTATGTCGTTGACTTTCACTGTTGTTTGTGAAATAATTAAAAAACTTTTTTTTTGAGAGTGGGTCCAAATAAATTCCAAATCAACAAGACAATGTGTTTGTTTTTCTCTTCCATTTTACCTTTTCAGTGCGGTTGTAAGAGGCAATGTGTCATAAAACAGCTACAGCGAAGATTATTATTATTATTATTTTTGTTAGTAGCTGTCAGTTATGAATGACACGTTGCGCTAACTCGACAAAGAACGTGAACGCAGCCGCTCTACCGGTAGTGCGCTGTGGTCGCTAGGTGTCGTACCTTCACCTCTGTTCTGTGGTTCTTGGTTCCGGATGTGACTGGGGGCTTTGAAACCGGCAACCGAGTCGGTGCCATGGTCGAAACAGCACTGCGGAAGAAACTGCACTTTCACTACGGATTCACCCGTCTAAGGCAGTGCGGCGTCCTCAGAGAACGGCAAAGATCAGAGGTCGTCATGGAAACAGCCGGTCTTAAATCAAGCGAATCTCTTCGGGGGGGGGGGATGAGGAGGAGGGGGGGTGAGATCACCGGTTTTGAACAAAAAGTTTTATCCGCGAAAAACAAAATACGTTCCTAAGTCTAAAAAAAAGGGGAGGAGCATCAAAGAAATAGTTCAAACGGAGTCGTAATAGTCATTAGGACAAAAACAAAAGTCATAACGGAATTTAAGCGCAGTTATGCTGTTGCCATGGTGAGAATGCCGCATTCTTAACAAGGTAGTTTAGAACGTTCTAAATTTCCCCATGGTTTCAAATATCTATCCAATCAGAACGAGCGGGAAAGGTTCAAAATTTAGACTGTTTTACGTTATGAAACTCACATGAAAAGCTACACATACACACACAAACATTGACATAAACATCGTTTTAAACATTGGATGTTTTTTTTTCTTTTTGTAGCTGAATGTTAGTTAATTGACAGTTTTATTTTTCCCAAAAGGTCACACTCAGTGTTAAAACATATTTTCATTACTTAGAAATATTGTGCCAATAAATATTTCTAAGTAATAAAATATTTACATATTTCTAAGTAATAAAATATTTACTTAGAAATATTTATATATTTCTAAGTAATATATAAATATATTTAAATAAATATACATTTATATATGTATATCCCCTCTGCTCCTGTATTAAATTAACTTTACCATATGGATACTTGAAAACATACCATAGTACTTATAAAAAAGTCCAAAAAGTCCACCCATCTTCAAGTAAATTAACAAGTCGCTAAGTCGCAGCAAGTTTGGCTAATGGAGCTGAAAAAAGGGACAGCAAATGATATTCTGGGTATTTTCTTGACTGTACTCCACAGTAGCAGACAAGTAGCTGTTCTTGAGAGGACGTGCCATCTGCAGCGTAATCACAGATTAAGCAGTTGGCGCAAAAACAGCAGCAGACTTCCTAATAGTGCAAACTTTCAACCCACACAGAAGGACCTCTGGCCCTTTCCCGGTGGTGACACAGTTAAAGGATGCTTGGCTGAAAATGTCCAGCAATGTAAACATATTTTGAAAAACAACATAACTAACAGTGATTGTCAATGTTTTTTTTTTTTTATCCCTCCATACAAAACATATATAAAACAAACTCATTTTTATTCACAAACAATAAAAGTGAGAACAATACATTTGTATTCATCTGTATTGGAATTATTTCAAGCATATTTTTTGCATAATACATAGTTGAGGCACTTGAGAAAAATCAGCAGACAGCCACGCACATTCCAGCTTTTAATGGGCAGACATATCATATACAAAACAGGCTCAGAACGGAGTGAATTTTGCAGACATCAGTTCCCAGCGGAGAAGCAGAGAAGCCCAGGAAAGTGCTTCAGCCGGATTATTCATCATGAAGGTCATGGGCGTTTCTTGGTAGTGGTCAACGAGAGCTGGAAGGCAGCTCTGCGGAACGGACCTATTTCACACCTGGGATTGCTGGGGGCTGCCTCCTGGAGGGAAGATCAGACACAATATATCACAGTAGGGTTGGGCAACGAGGAGTATGTTTGAGAGAAACCATTTGAGGAAGATCATTTTGACAGTCTGGCCAGAGCAGTTTTCTGTGCATGCAAGGCATGACGAAGTGAACTTTTTCCAGATTGTCTTACATTTCAACCTCAATCTTGCGAAAACCGACATGAAATAAACCTAATTGGTCAGAAAAGGCTATACGCTTTCAAAATTTTTGTTCAAATAAAATCTGAAAAGCTTGTCATCCATTTTGTGCTCAGTTACTTTTACTTTGAAACCACTTTTAAAACGCAAGCAGGCCTATTTTCCTTCTGAAAGCTTCAAACGTTCGTTGCAGGAAAAACGCAAAAAAGTCCAAAGGCTATGAACACTTTTGCAAGACTTATTTCTATTAGCTCATAATTCCAGAAGCACTGCAATGAGTAGAGAATCCTAAAGAGAGGTTATTGTGGTTGCATGAAGCAGTGAAAGAAACACCGAGTGCACGAAAGCACCTAAGGAACCATTGGAGAGCACAGAGGAAATGAGGCAGAGCGAAAACGAAGAGCCACGCCAAAAGCAGGGGAGGAACCAGTGAGAAGAAATGAAGAAAAAGCACCAGAAAACGGCATATGGAGAAACGGAAAAATAATTGTTACTGCATGAGGGGAAACTCTGAACGGCCATAAAACAAATGCATGCTTGAGGAAAAGGGGAAAATGGGGGGAGATGAATGACTGATGTAAAGATGAAAACTTGACAAAGAACTCAGCCTGTTGTTTCTGGCTCTGGTAGAAAGCTGCAAGAAGAAAAGTCCTGTCTACCATCGCTGTTGGGAAGGGGGGGTGAATATGAGAAACACATTTTCCAGCAGACCCCCACCCAGCTCAAATATCAAGTCTCTGCCCCTGTGCCTCTACAGAGTAGCTGGTGATTGTGTACTTGCTCAGAGTGCGAGCCTAAATATCCAAATCTTTCGAGACCTTCGGGTCAGCGTGATACAAAGAGTCGCGTTTGGGGTTAGGGTTTCTCTGTTTCGAAGTCACCTTGGCACACTGGTTGTGACGCGGTTATGTTGACCGGTGAGCTGCTGGAGACCATCAGAGGAAGAGTTGGGTCCGGAGAGATTTACACGAGGAACAGGCGGAGCGTGGCCCCGGATCACCGGCCTGCCAGCGGTCGCCGAGTTTTTGGGTTGTGTTGAGCTGGAGGGAGAAGAAAACCTCAAATAACTTTCATGCCCTTATTTCTTGTGTCCATGACATTCTGCTGACATTCCAGGCTTTTGTGATGTAAAAATCATAACTATAATAAACTTTCTCAAACTTTTTTTTTCCCCCATATGGAATTAGGTTTCTTAGGGATGGGCAAAAAAAACCAAAAAACAATTGGCAGTAAGCTGGCTGTAAACATATGAACACCCTTTGATAAAAAACACTATTGATTCAGTATCAGTACTCAAGTTGTGTCCAAGTCCATCAGATTGTAGGAACATCTCTCGTCCACAACACTCTTTAGGTAACCCTACAAATTTACCAGTGAAATTAGCACTGGATTTTGGCTGGACAGTTTTCAAACCTTTTAAATTTTCATCGAATGAAGTCATTCTTTTGTTTATTTGGAGGTGTGCTTGGTCTGGTTGTGAGACCAAGCAGAATCTTGAATCTGGTGAAGATTCAAGATTCTGCTGGATTCTTAACTATTCCAGCCAAATTTACTTTATAGAACTGTGGCGTAAAAGTTCAGCTTTGTTTCGGTCACTTTGGAAGAAAAGAACGGCGTCTTGTCCAGAAACATGGAGTGCAGGAGATTGTTGTCACATGTACAACACAACCAGTACTTGTTAAGAAGTTTCTACAGGCCATTCTCCCATCTTGTCAGTCTCTCTGGTCAGTTTCTCTCATTTTCTGAAATGCCTTTTTTTTCCTTTTTTTTTGTCAGTATGGTCTGTTATTTATTAGTGGTTGCTTCCCAGTGCCATTGTCTACATGTGATGCAGTCAATTTTGTTTTACCCTTGTCCTGACTGATACCATAATACAATGAGATTCCTTTAAGATTCACGTTAGACGCGAATGGCATGAAATTTCCACATGGGCCGCTAAAATTTATTTCTGGCTAATCGGATTCACTGTAACTGGATCCAGAAATCAAAACCTGCTTTAAGAAAGTGTCTGCTTCAGAGTGTTCATTTATACGCAAGATTATTGCAACTTTGTGTTTTTCTTTCTCGAAGAAGGTGCTTTGTCCTTTGGATTTATGAGGAAGAAAGTCTACAATAGGTTATCAAAGTTTCTTTTTTCTTTACATCATAAAAACCTGACATTTCAGCAGCTTCAAGAGCCTCCAGCACATCAGATTTGTACCTTTGGTGCTGTATCCAGGAGGAGTCTACAGGTGGAGGAAGCGGGGTGGTAAAGGTAGAGGTGGAGATCTCTCCAATGACGGTGAGCGCCTCTTTCAGGGCGGAGTGTTTACGGAGCACTTCCTCGCGGTGTTGCTTCTGCTCCGGTGACTCATCCATCAGAGCCGAGCATTCCCCCAGCGCGTAGAGCTGAGCCAGGAGCTCAGAGCTAATGAACTCCTTCACCTGCACAAAGAGACCGGACATTGGCGTGACGAGCCTTAACCAAGGAGCAAAGCAATCTGGCTTCGGATTTTAAAATTTCATGTGCTACAGATCATATGGTGGAAAGAACAAATGACAAACGACCCAACAGTGCGGTCTAAAGTGCTTACACTATTGATCATGAGGTGCATAATGGTCTTTGGCATCAGATCCCTCACGGTCTTATAGATGATGCTCATGTAGGAGTCAACCAGGTTACGGATGGTCTCCACCTGCCTCTCCAGCTGAGGATCTGTGAAGTTCTGAGCTCCGTTTTCCTGCTCCTCTGCCTGTGTGACATAGGAAACAATTCAGTACACCTGACATACTGACAACGTATAGCACAGCATGAAGTAGTGTGAGGGAAAGGTTCCTCATAAATGTGTACGCGGCGCAATATTGTGTCATGTAGGGAGTCAAGAAGAAACACAATTGACAGAAAAAGAACAAGAGACAAGAATGGGGCGAACAAAAAAAGATGGAGGGAGAGAGGAGGGGGAGAGGAAGAAGGAAAAAAAAGTCGAACTGGTAAGGGTTGGAGAGCTGCTG